TATGTGTGGTAGCTTATTTATTCCGTTTTTTATCTAGATTGGAGACACATTACAAGATGCATGAACAACCAAAAACAGAATTCTTCTTCTTCTTCTTCGTGTATTACCCAGTCAGAAATGACTTGAAAACCGACGTCGATTCGATATCGTTTCGACGTCGGTTTTCAAGTCATTTCTGACTGGGTAGGCTTAAAGCCTGTATTATCCAGTTCGTTCTGGTACTTTGAGCAGTTGGTTTTACTTCATCTTCGGTAGGCTGCTAACCTTGCCGAAGGAAACCTCCCATCTGGAATGGCTATACCCCTGAAGGGATATATGTGGCAAGATACTCTCGGTGGTTGCCACTTCCCTTCGGGAGATTCCGATAAACTCCAGCGGTAACCGTGGATTTGAACTTGGATCTTTGCGTTCATTTGTTTACTAAGCAGCGCACATTTCTCTGCGCCACATAACAGACAGAATTCATAACTGTTTAATCCTTACGCGTAACTGTACATAAGTACTGCGTCTTCGAATAAGCTTTACCTAAAACAAAACTTATAGATTAGCATGTATTGCATTTTGCGACTGAAGACGAACGTTACATCGATATCTGTTGTTTAATCCAGGGTAGCTATTTGGCCACATCAACATAGACGATGTATTTCCGTAGATCGCAAGACGATCTTTGTTTGATTATAGTTCGCGAAACAACGCCACGCAACTCATAACTGTCTGTAATATTGTTTAGAAGTATCAGCCCGTTCCCACCATCACCATTGCAAGGACCCAGTCCGTCTCGCGAATCAGCGCAGAAGGTGTTATTCGAGATCACACTAAGGTATACAGCATCAGCCGAGAGACAGGTCTCCTGTAATTTGTGAAACGAACTTCAACTCGAGGCCTGCAATGGCGCTGACAAATACATTTGTCACAAATAGATGTAATGAATAGTAACTTTATAATAGCAATTAACTACTTACTTGGCTCACTATATTCGCCCTCACCATCCGTTGATCTGCAACATCACGATCAACCTCGTCTCCACCCCATCCTACGACATATCCCGTCCTACTAACGACGTCTTCAAGCTTACTTGAGTCGGACCATAGGCAAATAGGCCTGATAAGAGGATTGAACTCGACGACGTTGTTGAGGGTCAAAACCGCAAGATCGGAACCAGCATTGACATAGAGCGCATAATCGGGGTGAATCACGTAGCTCGCGATTTTCCGTTTGGCAAATCCATCTCCGCGCAATTCGTCCAAGTTAAATTGCCCCAGAACCACGTCCACCATATTAATGTTTACTGGAGTGTAAGTTGTTGTACCAAAATAGTCCCATAGCAAACAGTGCGCCGCTGTAAGAAAGAGATACGCATGAATTATATTTTGTAACGATCCACACTGTCTATACGGAGACATATGTAATACTCTTGAATTAAATTAAATGTCTTAATTTAGTATGACAAAAAATAATTACGTATGATAGTTTTATTTAAATTACATTAATAATTAATTGCGCTAATGTTGGCATAGTTTTGCTCAAACGTTCGTGTTGTGTGGTGCGGTGATGTGCAGCCGCCCTGCGTGTAGGCCGCGGAAAGAATGCTTCGTGGCCACGCAGTCGAGTAAGAAAGCCTGGTTACTCTCGTTTAAAATATGTATTTCTTCGGGAATACTCGTTACAGACAATCAACTCAGGACTCGAGCGAGGTATCGTCAACGCTTGTTCTAGCACGTTAGTAACGAACCGGTCCGAGCACGTACGGGCAACGGTCCCGAACCGACGGAAAGAGGGGGGTCCAATCGCGGAGACGCCCGAGCGTGCGCTTCGAAAACCGAAAGGACCCGAGTTATAAAGGGGCATTAATGCGCCAAATTCGAACGGCAATCAAGTACCGAACATCCTCCCCCCCTTGAAAGGGTGTACTTTCAAACGCATCGCAATTAAAGACTAACATAAACATATGAAATTTAACGAGTATACAGTATTGCGCTAGTATAAAGGAACTGAAAAAACGCAAGTTCGCAACGCAAACATTAGTGACGCTGTGACAATCGTGATGAGTAATGCGACTGAACGGTACAACGAAAATTATTGTTTAGAACTGAAAACACACCGTTTACAAACTCGTAGATATTTTAATTACATTTTCAAGTTGAACTTAAGAACTACGTGACGCACTGGGGACATAACTATGTAATTTAATTTTATGATAACTAATGACGCAGTACGAACAATTCAAATAACGAAACGCAAAAGGAAAATAAAGATAAATGACTATGCCTCGATGGGCAATATGGCAATTTTAGACAACGGTCTTATTAATGATCCCGTCGCAGTTTCGACGGCTGCCGACCGAGCGTTTCCGTCCGAATCGGCATGTACTTGCTCAATTCTCCCCATTCGCCAATTCAGTGGAGCTAAATCTTGCTGTTTTAAGAGAACGAGCTGACCAACCTTTAATTGGCGACCTTTGTTGGTCTTCCATTTCTGCCGCTCCTGTAACGAATGTATGTATTCGGTACTCCACCTGCGCCAAAAATGCTGTCTCAGCTGTTCGACGCGTTGCCATCGCCCTAAACGGTTTTCGTTTAAATCATATAAATCGCTCGCCGGGAAACTGTTCAAGGGGGTGCCAACCAAGAAATGACCAGGGGTTAAATACATTAGATCGTTCGGATCCGTGCTTAGCTGTGTGAGTGGTCGCGAGTTTAAAATCGCTTCGATTTCGTATAACACCGTCTGCATCTCTTCAAAGGTTAGACGCGCCTTGCCGATGATCCGATACAAATGGTGTTTGGCCGATTTGACGGCAGCCTCCCATAGTCCCCCAAAATGCGGAGCGTTAGGTGGAATAAAGTTCCAGGAGGTTTCCTGCTCACGGAGGAAATGCTTAAGGCTATCTTGTAATTGCTCCTTGTTTAAAAACTCATAAAGTTCCTTTAATTGCCTCTGAGCTCCTACGAAAGTGGTTCCATTATCGGAATATATAGATGCAGGTTTGCCCCTGCGTGAAATAAATCTTTTAAGTGCCGCTATGAAGGCCTCTGAGGTTAAATCGCTGACAAGCTCGACGTGAACCGCCTTGGTGGCAAAACAAACAAAAACTGAAACGTACGCCTTGCTGTGCCTAGCATTACGACGTTTACCTTCGCGCAACAGTAGCGGACCGGCGTAGTCCACCCCGCAGTGTTGAAACGGTCTAGAAATATTCACCCGCCCCGATGGCAGTGAACCCATGATAACTTCCGAAAAAACCGGCTTGTTTTTGAAACACGTCACGCAGTCTTGGACAATTTTACGCGTCACCGCCCGCAAGGCTATTGGCCAAAAACGTTGCCTTACAGCTGCCATTGTCGCCTGTGGGCCCGCATGAGCGGTGCGCGCATGCTCTTGCTCTATAACGAGCTTTGTTAATTTGTGGTTTTTTGGCAATAATATTGGATGACATGTATCGAATGGTAATTCGAAGTTCCTTAATCTACCACCCACGCGAATGAGATGATCCCGATCCAAGAAGGGTGCTAATGTTAGTAGGTTACTAGATTTATCGATACATTCCCCGTTGACTAGAGCTTTATATTCCTTGTGGAAGGTTTGCCTTTGCACGTTTCTGCATATGACATTCAATGCCGATGAGATTTCTTGATGCGAGATAAAGGTAGAACGCGACCTTACGCGACTAGGTTTGAAAACTCTTAAGCAATAAGCCAGAATGCGACAAATTTTGCTTAAACTCGAGTGCTTATCTAGCAGATTTTCGATAAGGGAGTTTCCTATTGAGATTATAGGCATCGCAGTTTGCCTTAATTCGGGAATATTATCCTTTAAGGGGGTGATTTCGCTGTTAGGCCATTCATGTTCGTTTGTAACTAAAAAATCCGGGCCATGCCACCACGTAGTTGCATTATGAAGCTCTTGCGGATGTATTCCCCGCGACAATGCATCAGCTGGGTTATTGCTAGAGGAAATGTGGCCCCAGGAATAGGAAGCCGTGAGGCGCTGGATTTTACCAACTCTATTGGCTACGAAAGTTGCCCATTTTCGGGATGATGATGAAATCCAATTAAGCGCTATTGTAGAATCTGACCACAAAAACTCTTATGTTTGATAACTCACTAGAATTGTTAATTTTCTCGATTACTTGAGCCAACAGGAGAGCCGCGGATAACTCGAGTCTGGGCAATGAGACAGCCTTAAGCGGCGCGACGCGAGATTTTGAGCAAATGAGCTCACATCGAAACTGATCGTGTCTTGTTTGTGTACGCAAATACACGCATGCCCCGTAGGCACGTTGACTCGCGTCACAGAAACCATGCATCTGTAAGTGCTGTGGTTCTGTAGAAAATTTAATGCAACGCGGAATCTTTAATTGATTTAAGGCCGGCAATTGAGTTCGGAATTTAGACCATCGTACGTTAATGTCTGGGGGTACGGATTCATCCCAATGAATTCCAGATTGCCAAAGATCCTGCAATATAATCTTTGCAAGAACGACGGTTGGGCCAAGCAAGCCCAAAAGATCGAACAATCGTGCGACCTCGGATAATATAGTGCGTTTGGATATGATATCGTTATTTTCGCCTGGCGCGTGTGAAAAGTGAAATGTGTCTATAGCTTGATTCCAATGCATACCCAGAACTCGCGAATTGGCAGTATTAGCATCAATTGTGATTACATTATTTTCCCGATTGCCTATGCGTTCCAAAAGCTCCACGTTATTTGATGCCCATTTACTGAGTTCGAATAATCCTAACTTCAATAAATTAATGATTTCGTCGCGAGCCCCTTTGGCTTCTTCTAGTGTATCGGCCCCTGTGAGTAGATCATCTACATAAAAATCGCGTTGGACGCGTATTGATCCCAACGGATATTTATCGCGACTCGATTCAGCGAGGTGTTTGAGGCACCTCGTTGCTAGATACGAGGCCGGAGCGGTACCATACGTGACCGTAGTTAACTCGTATGTTTTTATTTCGGAAGTAGGCTCATCCCGCCAAAGAATTCGTTGATAACGAGTATCCCGGGGTTCTATTAATATTTGTCGGTACATTTTGATTATATCTGCCACGAAGACGAACTGAAATGTACGAAAACGCAACAAAATCGCAATTAAGTCCTGCTGAACTACCGGACCCGCTAAAAGCAAGTCATTCAACGACACTCCCGAGCTACTTTTACATGACGCGTCGAAGACTACGCGGATAGAGCTTGATTGAGGCGTGGTTTTAAAAACGCAGTGATGCGGAAGGTAAAAAGATTCCCCCTCGTCATCTAGCGGATCCTCGATCTGTTTCATGTGCCCGAGCGAAAGGTATTCATGTAGAAAATGCGTGTATTGATATTCCAGCCCAGGGTCGCGAATAAACCGCCTTTCAAGATTGCGTAACCGTTTGAGTGCGATGTCTCTAGAATTTCCAAGCTTGTTGCTTGCTTGTTCTCGAAAAGGAAGCTTGACGACGTACCTGCCTTGCGAGTTTCGCGTAACATTCTGCAAAAAATCGTTCTCGCAACGCAGCTCCTCCTCGGTGTAATCGTTTGCGTTGTCAATATTTTCAAGACGCCAAAACTGAGCTAATTGATCATGCAATTGCGAATCGCCTACGGAGGCGTGCAAGGCTCGGATGTGGTTCGACTTGTTTGCAGGAACGCCAAGGCGTCCCGCTAATATCCAGCCAAATCTCGTCTTTTGTAACGTTGGATGCCCAGGGGAAGCCCTTATTTGACCAACGCACAAAATTGACCAGAATACATCAGCCCTATTACCCCTATTAAAATGTCTATGTCTGCCGAGACGTTAAATTGAGGATCAGCTAATTTCAAATTCTGAGGTATTTCGAAATCGCGACGTTTTAGGTTGAATGCAGGTAATCTGTCGGTAACTTGATCCACTACAATACAATCTAGCAGAGTGCTGAAACCTTCTACTCGCGATTGAATCCTCACCTGCACAACTTGCGTGGCCTTGGTAGCTGTATTATTTATACCGGAAATGGAAATGTTTAATGCTCGCGGGAGGATGCCTAGAGTTTCCACAAGTTTCCTCGAGATGAAATTTGCCTGCGACCCGCAGTCCAAAAGAACGCGGCACGATTTTCGCGAGCCGTTGCTGTCGTAAGCGTAAAGTGAAGCAGTGGACAACATGACTCCCTGACTAGTGCGTTCGCTTAAGCTATGTGTAGCTAAAACGGTGGATGCCCTTGACGCATCTGGATCCGCGATAGACCTTTGTTCCTTGTCGGAAGTTTCAGTTACTAAGTGTAATAAGGTATTATGTTTCAAATTGCACTCCTTACAACTGCCGGAAGTGCATTTGGTTGCAACGTGACTGCTAGACCGCAGACAATTAAGACAAATCTTATTTTTGCGAATTTCGACAATCCTTTTGGGGATCGAGAGCGCCAGAAATTCCTTGCAATAGTATACGGAGTGATCTCCGCGACAATAACTACATTTTGTTTTGGTCGTTGCCACGCCAGCAACTTGTCGACCGACTAGAGAGCGCGAGCCGTTTTTTGAGACCGCCGTGTTAACCTTACTCGTAGCCTCGAGTATTTGGCATCGAAGTGCAATAAATTCCATGAACTGTTTTAACGTAGGTAAATCTGACGAAACTAGCGACGTTCGCCAATCTCGCGCGGTACGTGCGTCTAGCTTATTGCTTAAAATGTATATTAAAAGGTCGTCCCATTGAGATGTCGGACGTTTTAAGGCCTGAAGGGCTTGAATGTGCCTCGTAGCCCCGTCTGCAATTTGACGCAGCTCGACGGGGTTTTCCTTGCTCATGCATGGTAATTCCATAATCGATCCTATGTGATTCTGAACTATCACGCGCTTATTGTCGTATCTTTCCTTTAAGAGGTTCCATGCTACCTCATAATTCACGGCCGAGATTTCCAGCGAGCTAACGACCTTATTTGCGTCATCCTTGAGACAACCCTTCAAATATTGCAATTTCTGTATGTCGCTAATCGACTCATTGGAATGTATGATCGATTGAAACGCGTCAAAGAATGGAAACCACTCATCGTATTTGCCCGAGAAGCTAGGAAGATCGAGCTTAGGTAATCTTACGTGAGTCAGTGTTCTAGACGATTCGGTTTCGGTTGTCGTAGATCTCGTAGCTGGAATGCGTGGTACCGCCGGAGGATTAAGAATCTCGCGAATTCTAGCAGTTAATGAATAACACGCGTCCTCGAATCCCTGGCGATGACTTGCTTCGTTTTCGTCTAATAACTCTAATTGGGTTTGTAAGCTGTCATATTCTGTCCAGGAAGCATTTAATTTACCACGACGCTCCTCAAGTTGAGCGACTATTGAAGGGGTAATCTCCCGAATCGCCCCGACGAAGTTTTTTATGCGCGTGCAGGATGCTAGTAACACTGAGCGTCGCTTTTTTAAGAACGCTGGGTCTTGTTCGCTGGTCATGACGGAAGATTAATAAACTTGGTTGGCAATAATCCCGTGAACAGTTACCCTTACCTTAAATTGTGTTGAGTGAGAGACAATTTTGTCCCTATGAGGATTTTTTGATACTTTTAGTTGCTCCTAGATACGCTTAGTTATTTGGTTATTTTACGGTTGGCTGACCGGACTAGACAGGTTGGCCGCTGCGCGCCATGGAGAGTTAGTTAGGCACCAACCTCCGTCTCTCTCAACAGAGCAACGCGCTCTCGTGAACTCTGAATAAAGGCACATGGTAAAAGTCGAACGAGTCCAAGAAGTATTTTACCCTTGACCAACATCGCCGAATGTTATCAAATTGTAAAAACGCCGACGCTAAGGACGCTACGTTCACCGACAGTACAGGATTTCCTTGATTCGCTGAGAATACTAGCCGGTGCCGCGTTGTATGGCCCGTGACCCGCCGGTGCCGTTCCTCGTTCCGCCGAGAGTTCTGGCCGGTGCCGCCTCGTACGACCCGTGACTCGCCGTTGGTGTTCCTTGTTCCGCCGAGAGTTCTGACCGGTGCCGCCTCGTACGACCCGTGACTCGCCGTTGGTGTTCCTTGTTCCGCCGAGAGTTCTGGCCGGTGCCGCCTCGTACGACCCGTGACTCGCCGTTGGTGTTCCTTGTTCCGCCGAGAGTTCTGGCCGGTGCCGCCTCGTACGACCCGTGACTCGCCGCTGGTACCCGTGAGACGCAGAATCTCTCGTGTTCTTGAATCGCCGTCGCAGACTTGTGAGATGCAGGCGGCTCGTGATTCTCGAATCGCCGTCGCAGACTTGTGAGATGCAAACGACCTTGTGATTCTCGAATCGTCGTCGCAGACTTGTGAGATGCAGGCGGCTCGATCCAAGATGGTTAGGTTGTCGATCACTGTGTCCTCGCTCTCCTCGAAACTGTCCGAGATGGTCGAGTTTCCCAAAGGTGCCGTGAATCCTGTCTGGAAATCCGGCTCGAAGGACCAATATGTTGTGTGGTGCGGTGATGTGCAGCCGCCCTGCGTGTAGGCCGCGGAAAGAATGCTTCGTGGCCACGCAGTCGAGTAAGCCTGGTTACTCTCGTTTAAAATATGTATTTCTTCGGGAATACTCGTTACAGACAATCAACTCAGGACTCGAGCGAGGTATCGTCAACGCTTGTTCTAGCACGTTAGTAACGAACCGGTCCGAGCACGTACGGGCAACGGTCCCGAACCGACGGAAAGAGGGGGGTCCAATCGCGGAGACGCCCGAGCGTGCGCTTCGAAAACCGAAAGGGGGTCCGAGTTATAAAGGGGCATTAATGCGCCAAATTCGAACGGCAATCAAGTACCGAACAGTTCGCATATCGTATATCGCATATTCGCATAATTCTATATATAATATACGTATATCGATGAATTGTGAATATCTATCGAAAATTAAGAAATCCGTTCTTTTCGTAATATTGTTTTCCTTGTGTATTAGGTTTAAAGCCTGTTTTTTTCAGTTCAATCTGGTACAGAAACTTATACTTTGAGCAGTTAGTTTTACTACATCTTCAGTAGAATGCTGAACCGTGCCGAAGGAAACCTGGAGGGCTGCATCCCTAAAGGAGTATGTGTGACAAGATACTCTTGTTGTTGCCACTTCGCCCCGAGATGGTATCAAAAAAAACCAGCGGTTTCCGCGGCTAGATTTATACTCGGATCTTTTCATTCATTTGTTTACTAAGTAGCACACATTTCTCTGCGCCACCTTCGCAACTTTTTAATATTAATGGTTAAAAATTAAAATTTTACTATAAACGTTCCAGAAAATATATGTAGGACTGGAACTAGCACATATAGTTAGTTCAATATATGGACTACGAAAATATTTAATTTTCTCGATTAACATACCTGTTATTACATGTTTGTTTGTCAGAAGAGAACCACCACAATTAAAGTAACGTTGTGTCACCAAACCTGTTTGTACAGTGCGGAAGAGTGCAACTACTCACGGCCACTGACCTGGTAATGCCGTTGCACCATTGGGGATCAGACTATTTGTGCTCTCGGTGTAGTAATTGGTAACACCGCATTCAGCGTGTGTTTTGTAATTTGGATTGTTTATGCGGTAGCCACTCGAATTTCGATGCCACGGCTGAAAATCCTGCGGCAGTGGTTTGTTCGGAGGGTACACAATATGCCCCAATTCGATATTGGCTACGATATTTCCATTTGACCCTGAGATGCAACAAAACATATCCGTTAAATCGCACATTAACTTAAAGTATAAAAAAAATTTCCTTTTCTTCCGAGAATAGAAATAATTTTCAAATAAATAAATAAGAGTAAAATCCTATTTATCTAAAGGTAGAAATTGATAAGCATGATAAAAAGGAAATAGCAATTGTTTTAATAAGAGTTTTACTATTTATCTCCTACAATATTAGATTAAAACTTATATGTAGACAGATGCGAGTAAGAATTAACTTCATTTAACTGGAAAGAATTTAATGACTGTATTACTCGCTTCTTTTTCCTCGCTTATAGGTATGTAATATTTGTACTGCATTTTAATCAAATACGGTACTCACCTCTGGAGCTGAGACAATATTGACGCTTGTTAAACCATATCGCGGATAATATCAGAAAGTTTGCGTCCGAAGGAAAATTAATATGATAAAGCAAAGGTCTACCTCGTTCAATAGCTTGAATGGTCTCTTTTATTGTTCGTGCCAATTCTAATCGAAATAACCCATTCTAGAACGCAAGGATAATTCAGCTATTTCTAATAAATGGACAAATGACTAAGGATAAGTTCTCTTAATAACGAAATTAACCGTCACAGTTGAAAGTAAGCTTTGAGAGTACAATGTAATTACAACGCGGAAATTTACTTTCGAGTTAATTTATTATACACGGAAATAAATTACAAATAAGACTTGTACATTAATCCCCGATTATCTGTGTCAAACCACAAGTAAACTATATTTTTCACTTTGTTTTAACAATAACTAGATATATCAAACGATTAATTTACATATTTCAATATATGCGGAACAGAAATTATTTTGTGTAATCATTTTCTTACGTATATATACTTGTATATTGTTTCACTATATACCCATTTTAAGGCTTAAAGTAGTCTTATTTCTTTACAATACTAATTAGAGTAACTGTACGGTCCTCAGTAGAAAACTCCTCTTTGTTTTTCAAAGACTTTAGTGTGCTAAAAGTATTAAAGATTGCCTGTATTAATGGCTACAAACTTATACCAACGTCTTCTGCACTCTTGTTAATATTGAAAGTATAAAACATATACTTACTAGAGTGGTAGCGTTTAAGGCTACTTTTAAATAAATTTCGTTTTCTAACAGAAAATGGCGAATTTCGATCCGTCCAAATATCTTGTCTGTCTCAGGGTCGATTGTATGTTTGAAGTATTTCGAACACGAAGTTCTACCAGGTGTCTCAGCACAAAATAGATGCGGCAGCAACGCGAATAAAATAAAAATCTTAGACATATTATGAGTCCTCCTGTTACAAAAGAAACAAAAATGTATATGTTCTAAGAAATACTACAAATCTACAGTGGCAATGCGAGTTTCTACTCGAGCGAGAAAACTCACTGACATACTTAAAAAAAACTTTGTACGATAAACAGATAATTTATTTAAATGTTAAGAAATTGTGAACCGCACAATAAAACTGACATATTTGGTAGAAATCATTTTAGTCGCTTATTTCTTCAATATCTATTACATTTAAAAGTACTTTTCTGTATAAACCCAGATAGCACACATAGGTCTATGAATATTCTTCTGGAATGCATATTTTAACAATTAATAACTCTTTTGTTAGTAGATCTCTTATTAGTACTATAGCTGTCTTATTAGTAAATCTCTTGTTAGTGCCGAGCGACAATTTTAATTTTAAAGGCTCGTCTATACGACAAGGCGTAAGGCGCGGCGCAAGAGCGCAGGCACAGGCGCAAAAGGATTGTACCTGATCGTAGGGGCGTGGCGCAGCGGCGCAAGCGAAATAAAATACTTTTAGTTCCAACGCATGCACCTGCGCCCTTGCACCGTTCCTTAAGCATTGTCGTGTAGACGAGCCTTTACAGAGCGGCAACATCGCCGATTTGACTGAAACTTTGCAATATGGTGTGTTTTACTCATCGAAATACTCAATATTGCAAAGTTGCAGTCAAATCGGCAAGGTTGCCCCTCTCGTTCAGTATTACCATTATTTTCTCTTTAAGGTGCGTCTCTTACTTACTTATTCATTATTTATTCATACGTATTCTTTCCTTGCACACTATTTTAAGACACTCTTGCAAAGTATTATAAAGTACTTATTGGTCTAAAGCGAAATTCAGTACTGCGACGGTTGATTTAGTATTCTACTCCTCGGATTTACAACGCTACTGCTTCACTGGATCTTGATGATACTAATAAGACCTCTATCGAAGCCCGGTTATACTAAACGGGAAGCATATAAGCATATGTAATACAAAATTGATAGGTTCAGGCAGCAAATGCCTAAGGAAATGGAGAAATCAAATTCTCTATGCACGAGATTATGCACTTATGCAACAACTGTACTCCCCGCTTCATCATAATAAAAACGCGTCAGAGTAATGCAGTCGTAGAGTACTGAAAGTAATCAAGTGCTGATAAAGTCGATCCCTGTCATTTAGTTTAGAAGGTAGAACACAAATCCTATATTAACACAAGGAAGAAACATAGAGGACAAACATTACTGGAATATTCTCTCCGGCTAATTTCGCAGGAACAAAATTGGGAAATCCACAGATATACGTCTAACGAATTAGCTAGCTCGACACCGTTTCACCTGTGAGTAGAGAGTCTGAAGACTTATGTGAGTTTTTTTTTCAATGACATGCTTATCCACTAAATATTGCTTAATGCTTACCAAATCTTATACAATTATTCAATACACTCCTTCTGTTCATTTATTAAGCTAAGTCTCGATTGAAAAGTTTCATTCTAACATTTGACTACCTTTGTTGAATGGACGTAAGAGGAATTTTACTAAAAATGTTTTACTTGATTTTAGTGTATTCTAGTAAAACTCAATCAGAAAACATCTAGTAAAAAATTTCAGAGAACTTATAAGGTAAAATCATGTACTGCAAGTGGCAATAATAATGTCTGTATTTCCGTAACTTATTTAGCATACGTGTATGTACGTATGTTGACAGTACAAATTATTTAATTTAGCGGGAACAATATAATTGAGAACGTAGGCAGTATTAGATCGTAATCCTACTGCAATTTTTATAGACTGTACTTTTATTTCTTTTTGCTTCCTCATAGAGGAAGCTTTGTTTTCGCGAAAAAAATTTTTTTCCAGTTTTCTTTGAAAACATGTTTAGAATGTTCCAAAACGTCCAAAAATCACATTCAGAAAAAATGTCGTTATGTATGTGTGTATGTGTGTATGTCTGTATGTATCCTTATAAGGTAACTCTAAATAACTTTTTAAATATACATGATGGAAAAAAAGGTAAACATCAAAGTTGGACGGTTTCAAGTAC